TAGGGTTTTTCAAAATAGGCGTTGTGAGCTAATTAGATATCGATGTTGTTATGACAAAAGACATTTTAAATCAATTACTCCATAACTATTTTACTGTTTTCCTCGGCAAATCAGACAAAAGTTATACTGTCAATTGAATATTGACATAAACTAACCAGAACGACCAGCTTCTACTTAAGTTAAAATACACACAAAAAGATACTTATTTTATTTTTGCCTCTCGTGTAAAATTTCATTTTTGGCATAATATATACATTATATTTTTCTTTGATTAGACGGCAGCCCTGGTTACAGCTGAAAGCTGTATTGAGATTATTGTGGAACTGATGACAATTGTGTTCGTGTTTGGTGTCCCTTTAAGTTCGCTAATTATTGTAGATGGTGGGAAAGTTTTATTCCTATAATCATAGTACCCACATTAATTGAAACAGCTTGGTTATTAAAGAGGCAATTCAATTTCATTTGTGACGTCAGAAAAAGAGCTAGATCTAGATCTATCAGTTACAGTGACGTCAAAAGTTTGTGGCGCAACTCATGTCAAATATTCCCTGAACTCTCGAACATAGACTCTCCAGCTTTGCAGAGTGACTTAAATCAGTTTGTCTTAAAACAGATCAATATTTTTGTAAACTCGACCTGTTGGCTTTATTCTAGAAAATTCTCTGTTTAATACCAATACATTTTTTTTTTACAGATTTAAAAAAAATTACAGCTCGGGCAATATCGCTTTTAAGAGCACGTCCGTCATTTTGTTTCCACTAATCGCGACAATATGCTTTAATAAACTCATGTTTTAGAAACCTTTAGAACAAAGAATATGTTCACTATAGAATTAGTTTCTTATAATAAGTTGATCCACTAAAAGTTTCATTGGTTAGAAGGGACGTAGGTCATATGTGTATGCAAAATATGTGTGAGAAGCGGGAAATGCTGTGAACAATCACATTTTCCGAGTGATGAAAATGTGTAGCATTTTACATAAATTTAAGAAGAAAAGCTTTTTAATCTGTCCTCAATTTTTATGGAAAAATATGATTAAGCGACACAATTTTACATACTGATGTGCAATGTATGGGTGACATTGATTATCCGTTAAAGAGATATTTGAGGATATTACGTTGTGCCACGAATTTTTGACCGCACTGTAGTGACGAAACACGAGTGGTATTACGTCCAAAAATAATTTACATTGGCTAAAAGAAAAAGACTGATAAAGTCTGTTCAAAGCAAAAATCAGAGACTTGGGGGGAGGGGGGGGGTTCCCTATCTTGCCCCTTTCCTGTGAAGCGCATTAGGGAGAGTGGGAAGAAGCCGGACACCATTTGGCTTGTCACAGTTTAAACTGTTAATTGTTTCTCATTCATTTGAAAAACTAAGACCTGGTATGAGTTAAACACGAAACACCTTTTTAAGGACAATACAATATACACGTATAAAGCTTGCAATTACTTTCATTAATAACAGAATTACACATGGTTTTAAACAAGATATGCATGTTGTGAACTGGAACAGTGGCAGGTAAATTGGGACGGTGATTGGGCTAAAGTGGGACATGGCTTCACAGGTGGAAGGGGCAGAGGTTGGGGTAGTTGGAGTTGAGGCTGGTGTGCCTTGATTTTGCAGTGATCGAACAGTTACACCTGGCGGAAAAAACGGTGGTGTTTGCTATTAAGAGTCTACTCTGGTCTATACAAGTACATCGCTAATCACAGATGCCATACTATTGCAAATGGTTATGTTCATTCTCGAATTTTGATGCTTGGAGCTGTTAGCAACTGAATATTGCTGGAACCAAAGACAGTTTCTATCAAATGGCTCTGTTTAATTTCTAATGTGTGGTGATAGGGTGATACTTACTTACTCGGTTGGGGAATAGGCATCACTGCAGGCGGCGCAATGCCATAGCTGCTCCCCCCTCCTCTCCAGGATCCATAAAAGGGTATGTTTGCTGATCGTGCCAGTTATCTGCAGTTTTGGATATTCTTCTGGTTTTTCCACGCAGGTTGCTGTCTCTCCCCGACCCTCTAGAGCCACCAGCTTCCCTCAATCTTCCCATGGGGTGTGATGTTGTGCATTCACTTTCTCTGTGGTCGTTGAACCATGCTGTCACTGTTGTTATGACTGTTGTTGGATTTAATTGCATGGTTCTACCAATCTCAGCCTGGCCTGTTAGCTTATCAGCACATTCATTTCCTTGAACTCCTGTATGACCAGGGCTAAAGATCCATACAATCCTTGTTAGTCTGCTGCTGTGTATTGCCTCTCGCCAGACTGCATGCATCTTATTGTGTTTGTTCACTTTTTCGTGGGCACTCATCGAGTCAGTGACGAGGATGGCAGACTGACTCTCCGTCGTCTTAATCTAGTTAAGGGCTTCTGTGATGGCTTTCATCTCCATGCAAATGCTGGTGATACGGTGATTACAAGCATAACGTTCTTTTGGGCAAGTTCAAGAGAAAACGTTAACAAATGAATCTGGTGATTGTCAGTTATTAAAATCGCTTGCTTCTCCTTGCTAGGACAGCCAAAAGAAATGTACTGTCCCATTGTTTTGGGGAAAGTGCCTGAGTTCATCTGCCCATTTTTTAACACCAAGCAGAGAAATCCTTCAAAAGCTTCAATCACTGTGTTATATCTTGTATTCCCTTCAACATTTCTTCTAAGAAAATGTAGACAGGGGATAGAGAAGATTCGTTAGCTGGAACGACACATTTTCCAAAATGATGACAAGTTCACCACTCTAATATTAAGTGATCTTCCCAGCCTGTTTCTGCCTTTTGAGTCGATCACTTGCGGGGTGGTTTTTTTAAGAGAGGGAGGGGAGGGGCTGCACAGTTTTCATTGAGTTTAATGTAGCTTGCTAACCGTGAATACTGATGGTGGCTGCAACAAATACAGAATTTGGAAAGACACATTTTTTAAAGAAGTCGCTTCTAGAGTGCGTAGAGACAATTCTGGGCGCCTTGTCAAGCAGTGGAATTATTACCCTTTACTATTCCCTGTGTTGTCATTCCAAATCTCAGGAACTTCTACCTTGTGCTATATTGCCATTTGATGAGCTAACAAACGAGTCTGGTTTGTTGTGATCACCCTCAAAAAAGTGTTTGAACATGTTTTTAGATAGTCAGCGAGTATCCATTCTTGTGCTTGTAGTAGCCTACGGCTGAAGCCTTGCAACACACTTTCCTCTTATTCTACACACATTGACAGAGACTTGATTTTGACCCACCGAAGTCTGTTGATGATTCCTGGATATTTTGCCATTCTGGAAAGCTTTCAACGACTTTTTTCAAAATTTCAAATGAGATTTAGGATAAATCCAGCTTCGGGATTTCACCTGTAGTTTCTAGACATTTCGGAAAAAAACCCCGAAAGTAAACAAAATAAAAAACAGGAAAGTGGTATTAGAAATCTAGAACAACATAGCAGACCAATATAGTGTTGGCTGCATACCAACACAAGAACCACGTTGTACTTTTATTGCACCATGTTTCATTCGGATGCGATAATTTTGCACTGGGTAAGTTGATCTCTTTGCTACAGGAAAACTGGGACACCAGTGGAGTGAAGTGGGACAATGTGTCCCAATTGTCCTGACCATCGGTAGATACTAGATTTGCTTCTGCATTTTCTTTATGAGATAGTACTAGGCTTGTCTCATATTATTATTATCATTATATATCTTATAAAGTTGATATTATATAATGACTATATAAACCTATACTCACATTCAGCTTCAGTTCATCACTTTCGATGCAGAGACAGAAACCAATCTTAAAAAAAGTAAGCATACGTGGATGGATTTTGGAACTTGAAAACGGAATATAGAAAGTTGTAACAGCAATCAAAAGATATAGTGATAAATAAGAGGCCTATATTTTTCATTACGGTGCTGTTAACTTTGTCCACAAAACTATGTTTCGGGCCTCGCCCCAGTTTACCTGGGTCCTAATTTCCCCGCTCTCCCCTAAATCTGCGCACTGTGAACACTCAGCCCTTATAAACGCATTTATTGTTTCTGGCCAGCTTTAATCAGTTATGACTGACATTCCCAATACACTTGATGTTTCTGTCAGTAACTTATAGATCTTTGTTTTGCTGGGGGGTTTTCTGTGTTGGTAAGTGTTTTACAGCGCTTGCAACTGCATTAGGTCATATGAGCACGTGGAACACACTAAACATTTTCAGTTGGCAGAAAATTTTGAATTTTGCCCGGGTGGCGGCCGAAGTCTATTCTAATCGATTTTGGACAATCAAGGGATCCTTAACGTGTGCAACTTGCACACGAGATCTCCGAGACTTTTTGCCCTTATCAAAGAAGGCTAGGTGTTAGATCTGTTCTACAATAAGATCAGGGGTGGGGCTAAAAGACAGCAGTAAGAAAGAGCAAAGGAGTAGCAGTAGAAAGAAAGGCTGCAGAAAGAGTCAGGAGCCCAAAGGACGTGGTAAAGAAGGGGGAGGGTGGGTAGAAGGTGGAGACGAAAGCAGACGAGAGAACATTGCCAGAGAGCAGGAAAGGGGTTGAAAATAGAACATTAAAGAGGAGATATTTTCTGTCACTGTCCGAATTTGAATTCGAGACCTATTGAATTCGAGGCAAACACTGTAACCTCTGGACCACGAGAGCTCCCTTTCAGTAACCTATATATATATTTTGTTTTGTTTTGTTTGGTTAATTCCGTTCTGTGTTAAGTTTAAGTGGCTCTAGATGAATCATTTCATTAACCTAACCAGTAATAATATGTGGGCCTAATCGTCGAAGTGAATTTGACCCTCGCCCCTTTAATAATCACCTCAAATAAAGATCGGTTTGTGCTGTTAAAGAAATAAAGAAGGTAGTCATCGCGATAAAAGACGACTCCTCGATCACGTGATAAGGTGTACGAAGAGTCACATGACATATGAATGTTGCCTCCGCCCATTTCTACAGTTACAGATTAGATTAGGCCTAGATCTAGATCAAAATCTAATGCATCAGTTCAGAGGTACAGTTTGCCAGCGTCAGGTGGAAAGGAACACGCTGACACAATGTTGCGGTTGTTTCTTATTTTCCCAGTGCTCGTTCTTCTGACTGCAGTAAACGGAAAACCACCACACGTTGTTTTCATGGTTGTAGATGATCTAGGTAAGAGTTCGTCTAAGAAGGTTGAGAATTTAATTTGAAATAGCCCTTTTTAACCGTTATTAACGTAGTAATGATAGCCATGTCAAAGGCTAGTCAGGGTCATCATGTACCGGTAAATCTTTTTTTAGAATTCAGGCTAGTTTTCAAAGTATATTAGCAGTCAGATGTCGATGTGTCTAGAGTAGAGAAAGAGAAAGAGAGAGAGAGAGAGGAGAGAGAGAGAGAGAGAGAGAGAGAGAGAGAGAGAGAGAGAGAGAGAGAGAACGACTCCAATTCAATTCTAGCGTCAAGGTCTTGACTTAGAAACGGATTACATATCTGATTGTTTGAACTGAAGGCTAGAATCAGCAAGTAAATAAGTAGAGTTAGTAAGTGTGACAATTAAATGTGCTCTGCATTTTTGGCTGTAATTAAAATACTCTAGGCTATTTATAATAATGCTGTGATGGGTAGGCCTAGTGGTACATTTTCTGATTTCTGTAGGCCTCGTTTTTCTTTAAAATAATTTTCTCTTTGTTTCTACATGATCTAATACCAATTGGGCTTTGGAGTTTAGTTATGAATGCCTGATATGCCTGGATCATATATATCTGGGGCTCTTCTCAGTTTCCAACAATGACCACGTGCAACAATTAAATTATGTTGTGCATCATATTTTGCCATGTAAGCAACTGGGCATAGTTAGATCAGTTGATTCTTATGCCGTACGTCTTAAGATGACTCCAAGACACGATTCGTGCTCCATAATTTTGTGGCATATTACATGTTACAAAGGGGGTTAAAATGACTATCTGTTGTGTTCTTGTGCTTAAGTCAATTCTTGGGGCTTTAAAAAAATTATTATTTCATGTATGTGCTTTTCTTTTCCAGGCTGGAATGACGTGGGTTTCAACAACCCAGACATCATTTCCCCGAACATCGACAGCCTGGCTCATGGTGGGGTCATCCTTGACCATGCTTACGTGCAGCCCCTTTGCTCGCCGTACGTACACCAGCAGTATAATATCATATAGCCCATAGATGTTGAAAAGTATGTGTCACTTTGGGGTTTAATCAGGCACTCGGCAATTTTCGTGCATGTTGAGTTCTTGGTAGTCCTATCATTTTAAATCTTGTTCATTTGCCTTGCTTTCGGTTTTAACAATATCTATCTATCATAAATAGAAGTCGAGATATACGCCATTGCGCAGGCTGGGGGGTCGCCTGGTTTAAGAGGTAAAATTAACGAGCAAATGACAGCCAAAGTTTTGTCGCTTGCATTGCTCATGCTTGATAGCTCTTGGAAAATGAAAACTTACATTTATGTGCCTTTAATGTACGTTTTTCAGTAAAATCCACACGAATTATGTTTAAACCATAAAAAGTGTTGGGCTAAATAAGAAACTGGTAACAAAAAGTCCATAAAACTCGCCAAACCGGCTGAAAAAAGCAGTTTCTTCGATTTCATTATTTTGACGAGCGCCCGAGTTCACCACTATGTTAATATAGACGTTGAAAAGTACATTGGATTATATACATTTGTTTGGAAATATACCATGGTATTCAGACGTTGGAAAGTAGAAGAAAAATATAGGTTTGTTGGAAAGTACATTACATACATATATTGGAAAATACAATGTAACATACAGATATTGGAAAGTATACAACATAACATACGGCAGATGTTTGAAAGTACCGTACGGCTAATCATAAAGATATTGGAAAGTACAGCAGAAGGACATGTTGGAGAGTACCACATATGAAATACTATGATCTTGTAAGCTACAACATAACTTACGGATATTGGAAAGTGCAACATATAACGTACATAATATGTTGGAAAGTGCTACATATATTATAATGCACAGATATTGGAATGCGCAACACATGTTGTACAGATGTTGGAAAGTACAACATAACATACACATGTTGAAAAATACTACTGGACCTGCTTTCATTGGAAACAAAACTACCTCATTTTCTGAGAAAAAGTAGTCAGCTTATTCGTGGTGGAAAAATAGGCTACAGAGTGACAGTATTATCATTTACATTGTTACTTTGTTACACCTTATAAAACTGAATTTCTGCTTCAGTAAAGAGTGACGTAAAATAGGCTTTTTGTGTGCCTTTTCAGTTATTTTTAATAAAATTTGTTTTCAAAGTTGTTATTGTGAGCATTTCCCCCTGATTAACACCGTATTCGTTTCATCTAAGAATTGTTTGTTTGTTTTTGTTTGATTGTTTGTATTTGTTTGTTAGCAAACGCAACTTCGCTAACTTTCCATTATTTTTACAAAATCAAAAGGGGCACCCGGTAGGCATGCGAAATGAGCTTTTAGATAAATCATGAAATACCAATATGGTTGTTTAGAGTCATTGAAGTTTTGGTAAAATATTTCCCTTCAAGGGTTTTATCTTTTCATTGAAAGTTATAAGCACACACTTTGACTGCAAGTTTTGTTTTGAAGTATTTACTATCTGATAAGACGAGATGAAGAAGTCAATATTTAAATGCTTAAGTGTTGCATATCTGATCAGGATTGGCGAAGATTTTTTCTTAAAAGTGGTTGTTATTTGTTTCCGTGTCCTTAGTTAAACACAAAGTTCTGTTTTACGCTCTGTTTAAGGTCACGGAGTGCATTTATGACCAGCTACTATCCATTCAGACTTGGGTTGCAAGTAAGTTATAGCTATAGATTCTTCAAGAACATGAATAGTTATTTATTGGAGTGGGTGGGTGGGAGTTTCTTTGACAAGTGGGGTGATGTTTGATTTTCATGCCGGAGTAAAGTTTCTAATTCCATGTACTTGAAGATAATATTGGAGAAATCGTAATTTATCTGCAATATAATTCAATATTTATCATAATTTGTACAGCATGTGCAGTACCTCTAAAGTATAATCATAATGCTGCATGGGTCTAGTACTAGAGAAATAATATATAATTTCCTGCGATAAGGTAAATCCATACACGCACACGAGACTCGTCATCTGTCTGTCTGTCTGTCTGTCTGTCTGTCTGTCTGTCTGTCTGTCTGTCTGTCTGTCTGTTTGTCTGTCTGTCTGTGTGCCTGTCTCTCTGTCTCTGTCTCTCTGTCTCTCTCTCTCTCCCCCCCTCTCTCTCTCTCTCTGTGTGTGTGTGTGTGTGTGTGTGTGTGAGAGTGTGTGTGTGTGTGTGTGTGTGTGTGTGTGTGTGTGTGTGTGTGTGTGTGTGTCTGTGTCTCTCTGTTTCTCTCTCCTTCTCTCTCATTCTCTCTCTCTTTCTCTCTCTCTTTCTCTCTCTCTCTCTCCTAAATCTTTTTCTATCTATCTATCTATCTATCTATCTATCTATCTATCTATCTATCTATCTATCTGTCTATCTATCTATCTATCTATCTATCTATCTATCTATCTGTCTATTTATATATCTATCTATCTATCTATATATCTATCCATCTATCTATCTACCTATCTGTGTACAGATATCAATCCTGCATTGATTTTATGTGGTCTGATAGCTCTGGATCTCCAGTGTTATTATTTCTTTTCCTCTTATTCCTCTCTACATAATATGTTTCTCCTAATCTTCCTTTTTCCCCTTTCCCCCGTCTAATCCTTAATGTTTGTTTCTTCTAATCCTCTACACTATATCCTCCTAATCCTCTACGATTTTCTTTAATTTTTATTATCTACTTCTATGTTTAATCTAACTGTAAGATCACGCAGCAGCAGATACCTACCACTAAGAACAAAAGAGAAAACATGCAAACCAAGTTTACAAAACAAGTTTCTTAAAATCTAGTATAATAAGGCTACTGTCAGAATAAACATCAAAGGATATTGCGGTTTCGAATATATACGTTTCGAATCTATCTATATAACTCTAAAGCTCTTGTGATAAATGTCTGCATGTGGTCGAATTGTCCATGTGATGTGATTTGTACATTAAGGTATCAGCTTTACTTTTTTATATTAAATTTTAATAAGATAAATAAAATATAATTTAATTATCATGTATACCTGTGTGTGTTTTTACGGTCCTGCACAACCAAGAAAACTTTCCCTCTGAGAAAATAAAGTATTATCATATCTTATCTTTTTCCTTCTGGAAATCCTCTATATTTTAAAATCAAAATCCCCTGTTTCTTCCTCTTAATTCTGTGCGCTTTCTCCTTGTTATCTTCTATACCTCTTCCCCTTAACAACGTTACGAACACAAATATGGGACCAGCAGCAGACTAAAGGCAATGTTACGGCACATTCCAAACCTTCATACACAAATAAGCAAAATAAATTGGCACATTTTATTGTTAACATGTTGTTGCCTGCTTTTTAAAGATTTAGATAAGGAAAATAGAAGTGAAAGACATTGGTATGAATTACGAGGTTAAGCATCTTTTTCAGAACACCCCAAAACAACGCTCACTCAGTGAATTAATTCTCAACGATTATCCTCCTAATCCATTATGCTCCCACCCCCCCACCCCATACCTTCTCCTGTGGCAGCATCTGGTGATCAATGAAGGTGCCCCTGTGTGCGCCCCCCTGGACAAGACATTCTTACCTCAAGTCCTCAAGAGGCATGGCTACTCCACACACATGCTGGGAAAGTGAGAGAGTGATATGCATGCAGTTCTCTAAATGCATAATATGTTCAATTTTTTTACGTGTTTCTTTTTTTCGTTTATGTGCCTCAGAATGATATCCTAGCTCAACCATGCTAGAAACTTTTTCTGGAAGAATGAGCATTCTCCCCATGCACTATAAAAATAACCTGAGCTACTCGTAAAATGCAAAGCATTTGAGTAACGGGGAAATTAATTTCGTGTCTCTCCTGAAAAAGTCATTTTAACCCTATCCGTACGCCTGGGTTCATTTTATACCGCAGAGGTTGTATTCTTCACATTTTAGAATATTTCTAGTTCGAAGATCTCTTTGATACTTTCAGCATTTCTCAAAAAATCATTTTGACTGACTGTTATGCACAACGTACTGATAGGACTTACAAGTAAATTTCCTCTCTGGAAAGTGGGTGCTCAGAGTTCCCCACGTCCTATGGATACGATAGTAAAACACGACGTACGGATAAATGTTTTTCACGTTTAGAGGATCTTCAGGATCGGGTGCCTTGCCGACTGGCACGGGCGATCATGGACCTCCTTAGAGGATAGCGTCAACAAAATCCTCTTGATTTCTGCAAAGGGCAGTTAGTTTTTCCTAATTATCTAATGATTTGTGTTAATTGCTTACCCTGTCGGTTGTTCTGTTTAGTAACTGAACAATATTTTTTTCTTCTTCTTTCACTGTGTGTTGACTGGACTGTCACATATCTGTGATACCTTTACCTGTGCCCCTTTTATTGCTCGTATTATCTCAGTGGGTTGGGGGTGATGAGAATGTACCTACTGCACGTTAGCTGTTCGGTTTGTTTGTTTGACTAAAGAGAAGCACATGGACATTATTAGTCATTAAGTACGAAGGAAAAACGAAGACGTATGGACAGAAACAAGAGAAAGAAAAAAAGACCTACCAGTGGCACACTAACAGAATGGTCAACACTTTTATCGTTAGGGTGCGACCCGCTGGCATCTATAGCGTAAAGGTTAGACAATTTGTTGTCACACATAAAAGACCTAAGTTCGATTCCTGTGAGGGGAGCGTTTTTATGGAGTATGTCGGTCTCTCTGCTGGAACATTAATTTATTCCCCTCAGTCCTGGCTGGCTCTGACGGGTAGAGTTAAAGTCATCTACTAAAATATCTACATTGTGTGGATGAGGGATTATAAGCACCGGCATTTAAATAAAAATAATGATACGATACAAAACATTTGAAAATGCTTCCTGATGTACCACACATGTGAGTAATGTTTACTTCGACTTTAATATAGATTAAACTGACTGTGGTTTTCTGTCTCTGTGCTCTCACCTCTTGATTGCGCTTTCCTGTTTTAAAGTGACTTTCTGCCTTATGGGCAGGCAACCTCTAAATAAACCCTGAGAAAAAAACCTTCTATCCTGAGCTACTGATAAATAAAGTGTGATGTAGAAGTCAACGGTGTTTTTGTGTTAATGTCTCCACCAGATGGCACCTTGGGTTCTGTCGCTGGGAGTGTACGCCCAGGTACAGAGGCTTTGACTCATACTACGGCTACTACAACTGCGCTGAGGATTATTATACCAAAATTAGGCGTGAGTCTGTCGTCAAGTATGATAACAAAACTGTTCGAAAAAATAAGTGTTGTCTTATGAGTGTCTTAAAATGGAGTCCATTTGTGAGGCAGCGTGGTGAAATCAGGCGCTCAACAAAATAATGAAATCGAAGAAACTTGCATTTTTACCCTCATTTGGCAATTTTATCGAATTGTAGTTGTTGCTTGTTCTTGTTGTGTGTTTGGGTTTATATTTTTTTTCTCAATACCCTTCATGTCCAATTTGAAGCCTAAACTTTTAAATAATTTTACTGAAAGATGTTGATTAAAGGCACAAAAACGTAAATTTGCAGTTTCCAGGGGACACTCAAGCTTTGGAAGTTACTAAACTTTGACAGTCATTTTCTCGCTCTTTTTGCCTCTGAAACCAGGCGACCGTCACCTACTTAAATTGCAAATATATTGACTTCTATTCAAAATATATGAGTAATTTTTTTTTCACGAGGAGCAAGACAAATGAACAAACATTAAAAAGATACCAATAACTCTTCTTACCCTAAAACTACTGAGTGCTTGATTCCACCGAGTCATGACACAAACATGTATGTAATGAGAGATTCCGTGTTCAGTTTTAATTGTTAATCTTTCTACCTCTTTTGAATGTGGTAAGGGTAAATTTAAAGCCCGTTCATCTTTACCCATCCCTACCGTTCACAATCTCCTGGCTGTTTTGTACATGAGGCGTATTATTTTACTTTTTCAAAAATGCTTGTCAGTTTCAACCTGACAAGAACTTTAGCTTCATAAGATGTAACATATTACATAATATACTTCCAGTTTTTTGTTGTTGTGTATGTTATTTGATGTGTTCTTCCAGTTTTGTATCATTTATAAGAGATATGTTCATCCAGTTTTGTGTTTTATGTATATCACCTTTGTGTGTACTTATCATGAGATATGTTCTTTCAGGGTTTTTTTATTTTTTTTGGGTGTATATGAGATAATAATAATATGTTCTTCCAGTTTTGTGTTTTATGAGATATGTTCTATCACCTTTGTGTCATTTATATGAGATATGTTCTATCATCTTAGTGTCATTTATATGAGATATGTTCTATCAGTTTTGTGTTGTGTATATGAGATATTATGTACCTCCAGTTTTGTGTTCTAAATGTGAAACAAGTTTTTGGGGGCTTGATTTTTTAAGAAACAGCAAAAACGTCTCCATTAAGACCCTTGGTCTCCTTTTTTCTATGTCTACAAAGACGATTATGTTGATTTGGCTTTTTTCTGCAATCGTGAATCCCTTTTGTTATCTCGCTTACTTGATTCTGTTCGTCAATTATTTCGATTTCTGCAATCATAATTGGGCTGATGTATGTATCTGTTCTGCGTCTTCCTCATAATTGTTTTTATGGCTGTACATCTTTCTATTTCCACGTTCATGATTGTGTCAAGTATTATTTATTATTTTTCTTTCATCCAACTAAACCTTTTATTTCTACATCTTTGTTCCAAGGTGATGGCTATGATTTCCACAATAATGAACAAGTCGACAGAAGTGCCATTGGGAACTATTCTGCTGTAAGTCCCTGAAAGATGTTAGGAAATGTAATTATACCTCTGTTGAAGCTCCTTAATAACTCATGATAAACATTATTTTTGAATATTCCTTTTTAAATTCTAAGATTTTATTATTAGTTTTTCTTTCTGTCTTTGGGTCAAGTATTGCAAAAACCCAAGTGTTCAAACAGTCCTTTCTATGATTTCTGGCTTATTGGAATGTATTCTGAACAGGGTTGGGGAGTGGGGGAGGGGGGGGGGTCTTTTCCTTCCCTCTTTCTCAATTTTCTCTGTCAGTTAGAGAACAGACGGTGACAACCCTCCCCCCCACGGATAAACGTTTTTCACGTTTAGAGGATCTTCA